CCATAGTTTAAGAAGTACTCTATTAATAGAGTATTGATTTTGGTATTGATTTTAAGTTTCCTGAGTATGATATTTGAGCTGTGATTACGATGAAAATAAAAACTGAAATATTTAAGGGTAAAGTACCATAATGTCAGGGTTATGTGTTAACACTTTTCTTTATAATGTCTATAAAAAATCAGAAAAAATAGGGCTCGGGGTCCAGCTCAGTGGTAGAGTACTTATCTAACATGTGTAAGGACCTGGGTTTGAACCCCAGCACCGCCAAAATGATGACAATTTAAACACACACACACACACACACACACACACACACACACACACACACACACACGCCAGCACAAATAAAATAGAATAAATATCCATCTATCGAGAAAAAAAATTAATGAGACTTTTAAGTCCATAAAATGTGTACCTGTTAATTTTTAAAGGGTACATATGCTATCTTCTCATATCTCTAGTTCAGGGAACATAAGACTTTTTTTAAGCACTCAATCTGACTAAAGAAGTGGGCCATATTAAAGTATATGGAAAGCTAACAAGACTGTAGACTACTCTTTTACAACAACACTTGAATTCATGTTCTTGTCCAGGTACTTGGGCTAATGACACTGTCTGGTTTAGTAAGGTGAAATTCCTGACACAGAAGAACTCTACATTTTTAAGTAACACTTCAGAATTTGCCTTAAAAAGAGAAAGAAAAAAAAAACTGGGAAAGATCATTATCCTTACTATATGTTTCTTCCTAATTTCTACAAAATTAGTAAAGATGACATACATCACAATACAAATGGTTTTGTCCTTGAAATCTATTTGTAATAAATATGCAGACTGATAGGAAAAACTAATCTTTACTATAAAAATAAACCAGAGTTCAACAGAAAGAACTTCTGAAGAGCAGAGTACAAATAATAAGCACACATGGCATGTTACCATACTGCCTTTTCAACTGTGTAATCTCAACTGGTACACAAAAAGAAAATTCACTATTTTGGTTAACCTCATCATCTAATTAGCTCTAAGGGTTAAAAAATGTGCCCTATGCTTCAAAAGCACCAAAATATCCCTCTATTAGAACATCCTAGTGGCCTGTTAGGTGGGCCTTCTGAGGGTCTGGGCTCAAGCTCTGCAGCATCTTCTGTAAGAGGTGCAGTATTATCATTTAACCTCTGGTGTAATTGGTCATTTGGTGCAAATCTACAGAGGAAAAATAAAAGAATCTTCCTAAAACTGAAAGAAAATTGTATCAGGACTTCATCTCTTATCAATTCAGAAAAACAACTATCCTGAAATAGCTGTCCGGGCATAATTTAATTTTTGTGTCCATTCAAATGCCTTTTAAATCCCACTAACCTATTTGACTCAAATTCTTAGGGAAGGGATTCCATATAATTACAAGTATATATCACATGACTCGGCAAAAGACAATTTAGCAAATATGAATAAATTTCTGATAGGGACACTGATTTTTTTTTTTTTAAATAGCAATTGATGGTTACAGGAGAAAAAAAGAGTGATGTTGTGCTGAGAATAGATGCAGGTAGGAGCAGATGGTGGTAACTTGCTTAATGGCACAGCTTCCTGCATACCATGACAGGCTCTCACAGATGCTTATCACCAATTTCTAAAATAACAACTCAGAGTAATGCAAGACTTTTTATGACAAAATCAATATATCATCACTGTAAGCAGCTAATATACAAATCATGTAAGAAGCTAAAATTGTGTTTAAAGAAAACTTATTTGGTCAAAAATTTCCATTCTGGAAATCTAATCTACTTTTTTGTTTGTTTGTTTGTTTTTAATTTGGAGCCCTTGAAAGTCAGATACTTCATTTTTGAACTTTTGTGGATGCTAATTTCTCAGTTATTGGTTTTCCTTTATCGTCTCTGGAAAAAAGAAGGAATTGCTTTTAATGCTTTGTAGGAGACAGAGTAGAAAATGTCAGTTTTTTAACATGGCAGTACAGGTACTTTTTGATGAGCTTGAAATCTGAATTTCAGATAAAGTCCTATCAAAATTAAGTATTATGTCAAATGAAACTTTATTTTTTTCACGTGAGGCACAGATTAATCCAAAAGCTAACTTTTATTGATAAACATGCATATCATACCAAAAATTAAGATGGTCTTTTATAAACTAAGAAGGACTGAATCAGGTCCACAAGGCACTTGGATATGATCAATCCAGGCAAAGTCTGCTAAAAGTAAGGATCAGAGGAATTTATCTGACACTCTGCCATGTTCCTGAAGCAGTTCTGGAGTTGGTGTCATGGAGGACAATGTGCTTACTTAATGCTATAAATTGTACTATAGCCACTCATGTTCTGCCAAGACCCAAATGCTTTACTTTGTCATTACTTTAAACAATTAGACTAAATTCCAATCCTAGAAATATATTTTAGTCCTATTAGCCTCTGGTTAGATTTGGCTAACTCCTTTTTTTTTGTTAATTTCTGCTTAAGCATTAAATGGCATGTTTGCTCTAGAAATGATAACACAACACTGAAATACATAAGAAACTGAAGAATGTTATACCTGAGTGTTTATACCTCTTAGGTAGAAAATGATTATGCAACCCCAAGCAGCAGTAAAGCCAGCTTGCTCATTTTTGGGGTTCCTAGTAACCCTAAGCAGCATGTCACAGGGTCTCAAACAATGTTCCTTTAAGGGCATTTCACTATTTTCCACATTTTACCTCCCCATTTTTGCCCATCACTTTGAAGAGATAACTTGACCTAAATGAAAAGAACTTAGGCCAATTCTGAAAGATACTCTTGTGAAAGGAGGATTTTTCACCATTCCATTTTATTTATCCTGGTTATTGATCACCAGTAGATGGGCAAACCTGCCATTCAGAAATACTCTGACTGGGAATATGATTACTTTTGCTTGGATTTGGTCCTGGCTTTGTGGCATCAATGTGTCATTTCCTAATGTCTTCTTTTGTTCCCTGCTGACATGCTCAGACTCGGCATTTCATTCATATACACTGGATCTGCAGAGTAAGATCCTATGACATGTTTGCGGATAACACTAGAATTCCCTGAAGTGGCTGCAGGTATCCTGCAACAAACCCATTTTTCATTAGAATTGCCCCCAAGGAACAGAAAAACCTTCTCTGACACTGTTCAATGGGCCTCCATGCAGCAGCAGAAGAGAAGCACCTCGTACATATGCAGCGGTTGGGAGTACTCACCAGGCATGTGTATTACTGTTGTATTTTTAAAGCAGGCCCTGGACACAACTGGCTCCCACTTTAACTTTTTTTGCTTGCCTTGTATCTAATGCCATCTGATGATCTAGAATATAAAATACTATCCTCTTCGGTCCTACTTACCTCTGTAAGTTATGAATTTTCTCAAATAAAACATGACCTGTTTTGAATGCCAGTGTGCTAAAACCACAATAGGTATGTATGCTCGAAAAGATTATCTTTAACTAAGCATTTCAAATACATGAAAGGGACCACTAAATAGAGTATTTTAAAAATAACTTCACCAAATTTTAAACTACTAAGTTTGCAACACCACTCCATCAGTATTGTGAATCTGTCAACACTAGTTACACTAGGCCAAGCTTCACCAAAGGGGCCATGGAAAGCAGTCAAAAGACAGGGACTTTGAATTCACATTTCAGGGATTCCTGAGGAGAAGCAGAATAATTCAGTTTGGAAGGGGAAAAGCATCACAGGAATAGAAAAGGCAGGCATCACCTAGTGGGAAAGGAGACCTGTGTGAAAGGGTGTTCTAGTAAGGCAGAGATAAATAAGTCAATGTTATCTTCTTTAATGAGACACAAATGCTGTGATGAGAGAAACAAATAAGAGCCTGGCATAAAAGAATTAAAAGTTAATAAGTTGCACACAGGATTCTGTTATTTTTCTATTATGGAATCAAATCATATACTGTCCATTTCTATTATAGTATATATAGGATGATTGTGAGAAAAAGGAAAGGAAACAGGGTGGTGTCTGGGGATGTCCCCAGGATTTTGATTTTACACAACTGGAGATTTATTTTTGTTGTGCTGGTGATTCTGGGCCTGTGCTTACTAGGCAGGTGCTCTATCACTGAGCTACATACACTCCAGCCCTTATGATTCTCTACATATTGGACTACTGGGTCTCTGGTCCTTTTTCTCTCCTTCTCCGCCTCCACAAGGGCCTGATCTAGGCATAAGACTATCTCCATTAATTTATTATTTCCTCTGATTTTCCTAAATCTCCAGTCATATCTATCAAACATTTCCCTCCTTCCCTCCCTACTTCTTTCTTCTTTTATTTTTCTTCTCCTTTCCTTGTTAGTAGCCTTCTTTCTTCCATAAAAGTGCTGTTGCTTTCCATTTGTTATTAAGCAACATTACTTTTCTTTCATTAAAACAATGCCTGACGTTATTTTTCACTTAATATTAAGTTTCTCTCTGATGTAACCATATAGTTTAGGTCCTTTCTATTTTTCCTCTATATTTTTATTAACACAAGACTTGAGGATTTCCCTAAGACTGAACACAAGAACACAAAGTTTTGATGATTCCTTAATTTCCCTTTTCTCTACCACAATGACTGTTTCCAAACGAGTTTATAAAGCTATTCTCCCTTGTTATTGATCATCCTTTCCAAGGAATAATTCCTCATAGGAAGCTACGCAATTCAATATAATGTTTGCTGTTCCATTTTGCCTTTTTATTTTTGGTAAATATATTTATTTTTATTTGTTTATTTTTATGTGGTGCTGGGAACCCAACCCAGGGCCTCACGCATGCAAGGCAAGCGTTCCCCCACTGAGCTACAATCCCGGCCCTCCATTTTCTTTACCTTTTCATTACTTGTTATACTATTTACTGAGGCTTGACTGGGTCCTCTGAAGTTCATGTGTTAGAAACTTTAATCCCAATACAAGTTTTGAGAGGTGGGTCTGTTAAGAGGTGATGAGGTCATAAAGGCTCTGCCCTCATGAATAGATGAATGTCATTATTCAGGAGTGGGTTCCTAGTAAAATAATTAGTTTGGCTATTCCCTCTCTCTTGCCCATTCACTTTCTCTCACCTATGTGTTGTTTTTTTGCCACACTATGACACAGCCAGGACCCCTTACCGGATATGTACCCTTGAACTTGGACTTTCCAACCTCCAAAACTATGAGTCAAGTACACTTCTATTGTGAAAATTCCTCTAGCCTGAAGTGTCCTGTTATATATCAGCATGAAACAGACTAAGACATTATTCATCAGCTATGTAACAGTGTTCCTGAAACTATGAAAGTAAGTATGCACTGCCCACCAGCACGAAGTTTTCTCTGAAAGGAGAAAAACCGACAGATAATACTGAAGGGGGACATTTTTCTCTCAGGCACATGTATTTAAGTTTCATTTTTTAAAACTTTTCTCAGGGCTGAGGTTGTGGTGGAGTGCTTGCCTAGCATGTGTGAAGCACTGAGTTTGATTCTCAGCACTGCATATAAATAAATAAAATAAAGATCTATTAACAACTTAATTTTTTTTAAATGAACCACTGAACTTCCTATTTAAAACAAAACTTTCCTCCATATTCCCACAGATATAATTATAGCACAGATATAAAGGGTAGAGTCTTCTATGCCTTATCACACTAAGTTTCTTCGTTGATTGAATTTATCATGACCCTTCACAGAGATGGCACCGATAGGCAGGTAAATATTCCAGTTGGTTTCAAAGTCAAAACAGTTCCTCATGAAGTCAATATTCCCTTTCTCTATGTTTGAGCACCAAGTCTGGATCTTCCATGATAACAGATTAGGTTACGAAAGACAAAGTCTTCCTAACAAGACTATAGCAAAACCCTAATCATTTGCAGTACAGGGCTACAAAAAAAAAAAAAAAAAAAATCCTTTTATTTGAGAAGTAGTGGTTCTCTATACTGAGACCATCCTAATTTGATTAATTATATTCCTCTTATAATCTCAATTTTAAAAACCCATTTTCACATGATTTCAGGTTTAAAGAAAAGTTGTAATGGCACAGAGAATTCTCATACATCTTTCACTCAAATTCCCCAAATGCACTCTTTCTCAAATTTATTTTATTCTCTTTTATCCTCCACCTGCATAGAATTTTTCTCTTGAATCATTTGCAGGTAAGTTCAGAAATAATCACTCTTTTCTCCTATTTTTCCTAAAAAAAGAAGATAAACTCAAGGACAGATGTGTGATGAAGCAAGTAGAGACGGGCATACAACTGGGTGCTTACTATTAAATTCTTTTAACTATTACTGGATGCTTCAAATTTTTTCAAAGTAAAATGTTAGGGGTATTAGAAAACCAACAATGATACAATACTGTCATCTACAGACCTTGTTCAGATTTTTGTCTATGTCCTTTAAGCAAAAGAAAATCCTAGATCATGCTTTGTAAGTTATCTATAAATATATCTAGTTTCCTCTTTGTCTCTGATGAGACATCAGAGAAAGTCACCTTTCTAATTAAGCATAATTATGTGAAAGACCTGGGCTAAGGATAAACCAAAATACCAGAATATCCAAAACTCTGTAATATTTGACTTTAAAGTATCAGTCTTTTGGGGAATAGATGTATCTATAAAATCACATTTCAATTTGAGTTCATTATAGTGCTGTGCAAACACCCAATCACAGTAGCATAAGACATGTTTCTGTAGTAAAATGTGCCTTAAGGGGAAATTGCCCTGGGTAGGAAATTCAGTTGCAGACAATCTATGACGTAGACACCACACAAACAAAGTACGAGAAAGCTGACAATATGTAGGAATTAGAGTATCATTCCAATGTTTTACAATTCTTTGTAAAAACAGGTGTCAAGGTTATTTTATTAACACACTTACTTTTGGCCCTTTAAAAGGACCCAGGGGAGAACATGGAGCAAGTATTACCCCCCCACCTTTTCAGAGTAAAGATGTGGAAAAGCTTTAGCTACCTTTTCTCTATCCTGCTTGCCCCTCAAACAAGTTTATGTGGTAAACTGTCTCCATATTGAATGGCTGACTGTCTTTTATAATCTGAATTTAAAAATGCAAAAAAAAAAATCCTTTAAAGTCAAACAGTGCAATTAACATATGAGCAGAGCTCCTGTGGGCATTTAAATCCGTAATTAAAAATCCTGAGACACGTTGGCTTGGCAATCGTTATTGTCTAACGTGCACAGATAGCCAAAAGGTACTGAAATGCGACATTCTGTCCCACATGACTCACTTATTCAGCAGAGCCAGCCTCATAGAGAATGCTGAGAAGGGCTTATGTCTTTAAATGCCTGGCCCACCGAAGGACTTTCCCCCAGCACTGAAAAATGCCGACAGGTCCTGTGGAAAGACTGTTCAGTATATGAAATGCAGAAATTCGCTTTTGCTAGCATACTCCATTTCTTTGTAGAAGGAGGAATCCTTTTCTGAAAAATTAAAAGTCTAAGAGAAGGAGCACACACACACAGGCAAATCATCATCCCTATCTGATGTGTGAGAGCACAGCACACAGCACGGCAATCTAGCTACGAGCCTCTCAGATTATAAATAGGCTGCCAATCCAAGCAGCAGCTGTCTCACATCACTCTGCGTTTTCTCTCGGATTTTATTATATTTCAAAGATGATGTACTGATTTCTACAAGTTTTCTCTGAGGTTACAGGTACAACATGCACAGGCCAAGAAAATTTGTTCTTAAGCTTATTCACATCAAACAATATTCCATGCTAATCTGCTATTGTTTACCTTATTTATACATGTATAAGGGATTTAACAGGTTTGCACTCCTGCATTTTCTGTTATAAATTAAGCCCTCAGTATTATAATTCTGCACTCAATCGCAGCCAACCAAGAAATTGCCTTTATAAAGCAACTGAGCACCCTGCCCTTTCTGGGTTTGGAAAACAGTACTACCTACACCTGAATGCAGCTGCTTCCACAGGAAACACAAAATACAATGCAATTTGATTAAGTCTTTAATGCATACAACTCTTTCTCAAGAATGAAGCAAACCAATCAACTAAATGTACTGCTTAAGATCTTTAAAATGCCCAAGTGCTAAACACGTTCCTATTCACCTTCCATCACATGAGGACTAAATGCCAAAGCTACGAGGAGAAACCTTTTGTTCCCATATGGAAAAACTCCCTTCCCAGAAATGTGTCTTGAGAGGTACCTTATAAAGAATGATTCCTATCTTCTCTTTATACTGTTTTCAGCCTGCAATTCACATGGGCAAGATACTTAATAAGCAAAGTATCCAACGTGTTATTTTCTTATTTGTAATAAGTACATTCAGAATTCAGAACTCGTATTTGGTTATCACAAGATACAGCCTTTACCATGCCTAGGACGTCACCATCAACCAACACTTCCTGTATTTGCCAGTATGGAATTCATTTCACTTTAGCTTAATAAATACAGTATAATATTCACTACAGTTAGAATTATTTAATAGGCTCGTAGCAAATTCTCTAAATGTTTGAGTTGGAGATCTCTGGGGACAATTTTCTTTTCCTTTTTGAAAGACAGGCTTGGGGTGGGGATACAAAAAAGAAATTGAAAAAGTTGTCTTGTTCAAAAATTTCATTTGTACTCTTAATTATCCTGAAAACTTTCCAGAGACTGTTTGGTGTCAGGATATAAAATTATTTCAATTTTCTATTACAGACACACTGTTGTCCCTGAACTTTTAACTGGAAAGTCTTTGTTCTTGTGGAACAATCTCACATAATTTCTATGAAAAATAATATATACTAAATAAAATTGTTAACAGCTATGTAATAAGCCTACAGGTGATTTTTGCTTTGCTGAATTAACTAAAGGTTTTATCTACTGAAATTCTGAAATAAATTTTTCCCTCTTTATACTTTAAGATTTCCTGATTCAGCTGTACTTATCACTTTAAAGTCTACAAGTTAAAATATTTCTTTCCAGTTTAAAAGTAACTTGAAAGTGTTTTGTTATTGTTGTTGTTGTTTCCTTTTGCTTTAATGTATATTCCCTCACCCCTGAAGGACTGCATCAACACAGACTGCAGACTCCTGCATGCAATTTCAGTCCTACTAGAGCTCCATATGGAAACAAGAGAAAGGTTTATTACTTTAAACTTTACTTTTTAAAACAAAATGATCCTTGTAAAATTATGAGATGAATCTGTCACGATGAGCTAAACCTTGGGGAAAATCAAGAGGTTATGTGGAGAAGTCAACAATAACTTCCTCTCCCAAATCTTTGGTCAATTTTTTGTACTTAATGTTCTTTTTTTTTTTTTTTTAAAGAGAGAGTGAGAGAGGAGAGAGAGAGAGAGAGAATTTTTAATATATTTGTTTTTAGTTCTTGGCGAACACAACATCTTTGTTGGTATGTGGTGCTGAGGATCGAACCCGGGCCGCACGCATGCCAGGCAAGCGCGCCACCACTTGAGCCACATCCCTAGCCCTGTACTTAATGTTCTGAAGCTGCTCTTTCACTAATTCTATTTGATAATGACTTCCACAAAGCCTAACAATTACTTGAGTTTAATTTTTCCTCCTATAATAGTTTACCTAAACAAGGTTAACTTCTATTCTAGAAGCCCAACCAAATAACTTCCCAAAACAGACATTTTTAATCCTAGAGTTCTTTCTAAATTTAAGATTTAAAAACATCTTCATTGTATTTATTGTTATAAATTCTTTCTTAATACAACCTAAAAACTCAGCAATAAATTTCATGTCATTTCCAATAGGAGACCCAGTTTAAAAAGAAATGGCCACGGGAGTGCTTTCAGTTATAAGTTTTAACTTTACTCCACCGCACCTGTCCCACAGTTACATAGTAAAAATAACAACAAAGGCAAAGAAGAAAATAAGAGAATGTGTTTCCCTAAACTGGGAGTGGGAGAGAGGTAAATAAAAAACTTTTTTATTTATGAGAGTGTTTTTAAAGACTTATTCTTTGGATGGCATTTATAACTCGATTTGATAATTATCCTATTCACTGAAATTTATTCTTAAAACTGAAAGGTAATGCATTACCTTCTGCAAAAAGAAAGCCTTGACATATACAACTAATATGGTAGGTTGTTATTCATTGTAGTCTTTAGACAAAAAATAAACACTAAACAACAGAGCAAACTTCTGACTTTATCTGGAGAACAGTTTGCTAATACATTAAAAAAAAAAGAGCTATCTAGAGAATATGACCAATGTATATTTCTGTTTTCTATTCTCTGATTCCTTTAAGTGGACGTCAAAATAATTTTTTAAAAAATATTTTCTCTCTATAAGCTCTCTTACTCCAATTAGGAATGCTTTTTTCATCATAAGAGGATACCACATGATCTTTTATTCTAACTAACATTTGTCTAATATTATGATTAAGAATTGGTTCTTTGAACCCATGGGGACTAAATCTGGTTTCTTTTTTTTTTTTTAGTGCTGGGGGTTGAACCCAGGGCCTTGTGCATGTAAGGCAAGCACTCTACCATCTGAGCTATCCCCTAAACCCAATTTCAATACTAGTATTTTTAAAAACTAATTATAATCTGAAAAGAGACAATGGATAAAGTATTCTTTTTCATCTGAAACATATTAGGCAAGCTACTTTTCATTAGTCTGTACTTTTTTTTAAAAAATAAATTTTATTGTGAACTTTTAATATTGGACCTTACTACAATCTAAAATCAGTATCTGTTACTATAGTATGCTATACTCCAATGAATCTGAGTGACAATCTAACTTTACCAATACTCAAGTTTATTTAAATCCCAAGTGCATGAAGAGTGTTACAAAACTATTTCACAGATTGGCACTATTAGTGATTTATAGTAATTTACTTTAATATAGTATCAGAAGACACACACATATATGTAGCAAAAAGGTTACTATAGTGGAACAAATTAACATATACATCATTTCACATAGTTACTCCCCCCAAGAGCAACTATAATCTATTTATTCAGCAAAAACATTTAATACAGTATACTATTATAACTATAGTCCTCATGTTGTATATATTATATCTTTCAACTTGTTTATACTACATATTTGATATTTTGTATCCTTTGACCTAAGTCTCTAAATTTTCTACCTCCCCCAGCCCCATGACCCTGTAACTAGTCTTATTTTCTAGTAGTATATATTTGTCATTAGTTTACTCTGAATATAACTAAAATTTAACTTTTTGTCTTGCTTGAGGGGCAGGAGGTGGGTACTGGGGATTGAGCCCAGGGTCTCACAATGCTAAGCAAGTACTCTATCACTGAGCTACATTCCTGGCCCTTTTTATTTCTGAGACA